CCGGTGCTGGGGACGAGCACATGAGGCGGGTCTGCTTTGCTCGGGCGAAGTAGGGAGGTGGTGGCTGCCTCCTCGCCTTCATATGTAGGAATTCTTGATGATGATCATGATGATGATAATGATGATGAGGATGAGGCGAGTCTGCGAGGAATTGTGCGACGAATTGTGGCGATGTTGTAACTGGAACCGATTGAGTATTGCTAGCAGCTGAACGCATAAAGAGATGATGAGCAAGTACTGGGAACTGATATTATGATCCTGATCCTATTACAGGCACAGTTACGGAATTGAAGAAGAATTGCGGCGAGTTATGATCGAATTCAGCAGAATCTATACAGCGACAGATGCGGACAACGCGGGCTCGAAGATCGTGATAAGGTCCGAAAGGAGGGGAAGAATGAAGGTGGTGGAGGTCGCATGGACGGAATCAGCGGACCTTGGAGCTGGTCCACGGCAATAGCACCACAAAGCCTGTCGTCACACTGTGTGACTCACACAACAGGTCCTCTCCAAGGTAACCTTGTAAAAGCTCGAACACGTTTGACGCTGCGCAGTGGAAAGCCACGAGCATTTTCAACTGCGATGATTAGCATGCCTTGCTGAATTCGAATGCCAGTGAAATGGATGGACAACACTGCCACACTCTGTGTGCAGCGAGCACGCAAGAAAAGCATGCACTGAAAAGCGAATCATTGCGTTGCAGGCACACAACTCTAATTGCCATGCCTCTTCGGAAATACAGTCCATGGAATTGGCAGAAACAAAGGCACATTCAAACTGCCCAAGCAAATAGCCAGGAACGTACATGCGATTTAAGAACGCTGCTGATCGCACCAAAAGCAGCTACCTCACTCACATGCCAGAAAAGAGGAACAACGTGCTAAAATCGTGTTATACTTTTTGGCCTGGTGTTAAACGTTGAAACATGTGAAACAATAATCATTTTGTACTTCAGTACCAAACGAGTGCCAATTCGAGTTTGTTATCAACGAATATTGCTTGATACTATTTAAAATTCTTGTAATTTTCTTGCACTCGCAATTCTTTATTGGCGTGGCCAGAAAATACTGCCCCAAGGGCTGTAACATTGACTGGAGTTTAATGAGCTACTCTCACATTACCTCATTTAAAGGGCGTCATTTCCTTGGAGCACTCCACTGTTTGACAATCAATGGCTGTAACCACGCCAGTGAGACAGCGATGGCAACCGAGTTTCTTCAATTGAAGAAATAATATGAGAGGCGGCAGCTGCAACTGCTGCCTCTCATACATGTGTCAGCGTTGGACATGGCACCCCTGATTGATCGGTACGTGGCAGCGCGTTTTCTTGGGAGGCTGGACACGCGGCAGAAGGAGGGCAAAAGAAGAACGTAAAAAACACAACAAGGACACGGATGTGCCTCAGCCAGCGCGTGCGCAGCACCATCGGAAATCATGGCAAGCATTGGCAGAGCATTTCAACTGCGTTGCCATTGACACAATGACGAGAAGCGTTGCTGCAATGCTCATGGATTGGCATTGACAAGCGTTCACATGTGCGCCGAATTGGCAATGCACTGCCAACGGCGTGTCGAAGCTGATACAGAGGCCCCGCTGCCGCCTACCTACAACACCCACGGACTTGCAGGATGTCTCCATCTGAATGGCGGGTCTCTTTCTGAGTTGCTTTGCATTTTGCCACCACAGAGATTACCACATGGCATGTGCCATCAACGCGGCTGTCATGGTATGAATCTGTATTTAATAGCATCACACTCTGCGTCGCAAAAATGGTGGCTTCTGCCTGTGGTAGTCGCGGCGCTGTTCACGCAGGGCTAATATCTCTTTTCAAAGAGATATTGACGACAGATATGGAACAGATATTGACTGACTCCCAATTAGGGCGCAGATCGCGTCACCTCAAGCGAGGGTGATGATGTTGGAGAAACCAATCGACGACCAATCTGCATGTGAGATAGCTCGAATGAAATTTGTTGTGTGGAGCCCACACATGCCGTATTCACACTTTGGGCGGGCCATTGGGACGGAGACGAAAGAGTTACGCCTGGAAGAAGCAAAACATGGAGAGAGGTCTTAAAAGCTGTTGCGGTTCTGAGATGAAGGCAGGGAAGTTTTGCGGGCAGGCATTCACCGTGAGCCTCCGCAGCAATTCTGTAACCATTTCTTTTGGCTGTCCTGATAATTTAGCTATCCAAGCAGGACAATAGATATTATCCGAACTGACCTGTGGCTGAGAAATTTCACTACTTTATTCCCATGAGCCACAGAAACTCTGGCGACCAAAGTTGAGTGGGTTTGAAAATAGGCCTGAATGATTATTTGGTCATTGAGCAACGATCAAGATTACAGCTTATGCACAATTTCAGTACTAAATTCTTCAATATCAGGCATGTGTCTCTGGACTGCCGCAAGGCCCGATGTCCTTCCGAATTCAACACATTCCGTGCCTGCGTCAATATTTCACCGAAGGCCCTCAAGAATTTGATGATACCAACTTTGGAAAAATGTTTACATGTGTGCCCCAACTCTCGCTATTGGAACTTGCGAGTCGCAAGGACACTATGGAAAAACACTGTTTTGAAGTTTGTATGCTTAGCGCCAAATTGGCGTTAAGGGGAAGGGGTACAGTCATTGGCGCTAAGATATTATATAATTGACCCAAAAAATCAAAATGAGGTGGGAACGTTAACGAAAAGGCCACTGATCAATGGCAGATAACTCATGACTTGTTGCAAAGCTTCCCTCAAAACTTTCTAATTTCGAGGAAGTCCCTAGAATGGATCAACTTTTAGGCTTTGGGGCTGCCTCCATCCCATATCATGGCTTGGCATCCCATTTTCCAGATCACCGCAATCGCCACAACTCTGGTTGTTTTTCCCTTACACTAATTGAAGTCGTACGGCATTGTTATGTAATGTTGATTAGTCCTCCTGGAATCGAAATATGGATCGACGCTAAGGATTCTAAGCTTAACGTCACATGGACTCTCAGCGCTCAAAATTCAAAATAGTCTCTTCCCTAAACAAGGATAAGATCTCCATGCTCATCATCTGCGATTTGGGCAGGAGAAAATTTAACATATTACCAGGAATCTTCGGCTGACAATTAACGTATCCAACTTACATTCTGGGCAGTGTTGCTGCAGCAACTATGGTTTTCTAGGGCAGAGCACCGGGAATGCAGTTGCTTCGCTCGGGTGGACAGAGGACCCCGTTGCCGTTGACCATAGCATTTCTAGACTGATTGTAGATGCCCCTGGGGAAGAATAATGACCGAGGGCCCATGCATCAGTGCCGTCACCTTTAATGCAGTGCATATTGACTGTGGGTGCTGCATTAACGCAGATAATTTGCTGGCGATCATCATAGAGACAAAAACCAAGGCTATCAGATGCACGGGCGCTCCCAGGCTCAGGAAGGCAAGCCGCAACCAGATGCATCGCAGGATGCATCGCTCAATCAGATCTGACTGAGACGATCTAGATTGCATTCACTGCAAACATATCCATTTCGCGTCCCCATTGTCCCATGTACATTCCACCAAAAATAAACACTGCATTCACGATATCTAGTTCGCAGCATAGAACACCATGTATCTCATAGTCATTTGATATCTTCTTTCTTGTCCTTGCAATCATCACCATTGAGAAGAAAACTGAACACGCTCACGCACGGTCGCTCCCAGGCACGGGAAACAAAGCCGTAACCAGATACGTCACAGGACAATCACACCCCTCAAGTACTGTATAAGTAAAAAGGTTCGCGCGGAAATAGCTTGCGCACTCGTCATTGGGCGCACACTTGCATCGCGCGAACATTACAGAACAGGCTCCTGCCACCCTTGACCTTCGCCACAGGCCCGTGGCGCCACCCCGGGGTGGCGTGGTTTTTAATATTGCCGCGCCGGGCCCCGTGGCCGTCCTGACGCTCCGGTTGCCGCAGACGAATGGCATGAGCGGCCTGCGACGGTGGGTCTTGTGGCGCGCGGTTGGCGGGAGGGAAGGGGTCCCGTGCTGCTGATGGGAAGCTCAAAGTTGGGGGCGCGATCGATCTTGGGATTTCCAGAGCGTGGCGGGAGAGGGGCGCGGCGGAAATCTGTCGTGGAGGATCGAGCTGGGTGAAGGGGGATTCATTGCGCTAAGCCGGTTCCCGGCGGGGCGATCGCTTCTTGGACGTTGGCGGAATTTGCGCGGCCTTGTTTTTTGTGGAAGCACGGATAGGAAGCAAAGAAAATTTGGACGGGATTCGAGCTAAGCTTTTGCAGGACTAGAAATTGGGATGAGTATAGAGCCGCCTGGTCAGGGAGATGGCACCTCCTCGCCGCCAAGATTCGGCTGGCCGACGGCCACTGGCGCGAGCGACATGCTGGTCAGCTCAGGGCTCCTTCGGGGCAGTCGCTGCGCGTCAAAGACCGCCACACGGGGCAGTCGTCGTTGTGCGGAGCCAACGGACCAAAGCGCGGGCAGCGCCCGACTTGTCTTGGTGGAGGCCAAAAAGTTCGCCGGCGAAAAAAATCGCGGGGCCAAAATCTTCGCGCGCAAATAGGTTCGACAGCTGCTCGAGCGCGAAAAGCGCGATTTTTTCCCACGCGATTTTTTCCACTTGCACAGTATACTTGCTGATACGTCCCCAGTCAGTAATCACCGCGTCTCCATCCTTCAACACCATGCCTACGTGTCCAGCCACACCATAACTAACACCATCCTCCTTATGATCACATGCTCAATGTCCTCATCGTCACAGCCATCACTCATTTTTGCACAACAAGGCGAGGAAGCAGCCTCCTATTTTGCCCGAGCACAGCGTTGTCCATGATCTGTTCATCATCGGTGATCACTTCCGTCCACGAGCCCCATTAAGACCGTCCCGATTCACGCCGCCCCGCAAACAGCCGCTCCCGCAGCAGGAGCCTCCCCTCCCCCTTGCGCCACCTCCCACCCGGCCCACCCTCCGGCCGCCCACCCACCACCGCCGCGCCCAGCCCGGTGCCGCCACAACGCCATGAGCGACCAACCCGCGGAGGCCTCCAGCCAGGTGCGGCCTTCCCCCATTCCCTCTTGGCGAAATTTTGCGCGGCACCCGCAGTCCTGAATCCCCGCCCTTGCGACAGCGACCGCTGGTCGCGATCCCCGCGAATTTCCACCGATCCATCTTTCGATCCATGCCAAAACGCCATTGAAGCGTATTCCTTGCACGTTGTCCGCCCCCGTCCTGCGCCCGGTCGCTTGCCTGTCGCGGTGCTCGCCTTGTTTTCTCCTCTTCTTGCTGTGGAAACTCTGCATAATCTTTTCACAGCATGGAGAAGAGTCTCACGTGAACAGGATGCTTTGCATAACCACTCGGAGCCTTGTTCTAGGCATCCCTCTCTGCTTGTTTTTGTAAGCTGTGAGCTCATCAATGCGAATCGGAGGCTGTAGATCATCTTTTTGTAGCATGGAAAGGAGTCTCGCACACACACACACAGAAGGGGGTGCCCTTTGCATGACCCTTGTCTCTCCTTGCAACAAATCCCACCCCTTGGGCTGATCGATCGCCCGCGTGGAGCCCAGGATGCATCCAAGGCGCCGATCTTCGGCTCGCAGTTCAAGTTCGGGCAGCAGCAAGGCTTCTCAGGCTTCTCGGGCGTGAGCCCGGTGGAGGAGCCCAAGGCGGCCGACGACGGCGAGGAGCCCGCCGGCGAGGAGGAGTGCCAGGCGGAGTTCAAGCCCGTCGTGCAGCTGGCGGAGGTGCAGACCACCACGGGCGAGGAGGACGAGGAGGTGGCGCTAGAGCAGTGAGTGCGCATCGGCGCCCTTTTACATTTTATTGAGAAAGAAAGAAAGAAAGAAAGCTATTGTTGCGGGAAGGGTTGGTGGTGATGAGCCGGAACTGCTTGTTGCTGCGCGGCGCTCCCATTGTGCTTGGCGGCTTGTGGATCACCTTGTGCAGGACGGGGCGGGCGGGGATGCAGCTGGTTGCTGATAAAGATTGGCGTTGCCTTGTTTTGAGGGCGAGCCTTGGCGCCACGCCGGCGCCAGCCGGCCTGGTATGGCTTGCCTCGGAGCCGATCCACATGGGGAGCGGGCGGCGCCGGAGTGGCGGCGTCCGGAGATCCGCCGGGTCAAGATCACCAGACCCGGATAACCAGCTCGCGTAATGGCGCATCGGCGCGTTAACCGGTGTGGCTACATGCGCCCGGATGGGGAGAGCCTGGGGAAGCCTTTGGAGAGTTTTTTTTTTTTTTTGGGGAGGGGAGGCGGTTGGAATTGAGGTGCATTGGGGGGGGGGGGGGGGGTTTGACCGGAGTGAAATTCTTTCTGAACAGTTTTGATCTGAACAACTTCCCTTGTCGGTTGGCATTGTGGACGAGCGTCCACCTGTGGGTCCATCTGCAGCCGATCTGGAGGGCAGATCGCAGCGTGGGGCAAGGTGGATGCAGATTGGCTGCCTCTGCATCCAGGGTTTGGTTCTGGGACAGCATTACTGTTCTCTGTGTTGTAACAAATTACCTGAATTGCTTTTGTTTGCCTGTGGTTTGGCAGAGAGTCTCAAATCCTTGTATTTGTGCTTGTGTGCCTCAGCAAAGCGAAGTTGTACCGATTTGATGGTGAGTGGAAGGAGAGAGGTGTGGGCATGGCCAGGATCTTGAAGCACAAGCAGACAGGGAAATATCGGCTGCTGATGCGAGAGGAAAAGACGTTGAAGGTCCGAGCCAACCACCACAGTAAGTGCCATCCCACGAGCTGCTGAGATCGTGGTAAGCAGGGATGCAGATTTATATGTGATCCAATGCCTGGACAGAAAAGTAAAACTTAATGAACCGGGGCGATGTGAAGAGCAATGAACCTGCCAAGAACAGTTTTGTGGCTGTACAAGAGGAAGAATTAGCATCTATAGTGTTCCAGGGCTGTAGGAGATCTGTTGGGGGACTATGTTCTGGCAGAACGATGGAGACATCATGAATACTTTTGTCTTCTACTCTTTCTTGTCTTGTAACAATCTTCAGTCCTGTGGGACCCTGTTTGGAATGCAAGGAGCTCGCTTTCAATCCATGTTTGACCAGGGTCGTTGATCACTGCACACAGAACGGATAGGCTGCACAGTGCTTTGTTGTTCTCTGCCCCATCGCTGTTGGTTTAGGTGCATTGGCAGTGCAGGGTGCAAGCGATTCTGTTGTGTGTGGTATTTCAGTTTTGCCAACAGCAAAGCTGCAGGAACACACAGGAAATGAGAAGGCCTGGGTCTGGAGCACAATGGACTTTGCAGAGGAGGAGCAGAAGAATGAGAAGTTCTGCATCCGCTTTGGGACGATAGAGAGTAAGTATAGAAGAGTGCTGCAATGAGCAGCTGTTGTCTGTGTTGTAAAACCTGCCTCACATGTCAGGTGAACTATGATTGGTTCAGGCTGCTGCAACCTTGACAAGTTGCAGCACCCCAATGGTGCCCCGGAGTGTTGAGCTTTTACTGACTTTCAGTTCATGCACAGCTCATGCAACCAATCCTTGCCTGTGCCTTGCATCTTTTGGCCCTAGTCCATGAGATGTCGAAGGGCCCACTTGTGCTCTGTTTGGATAGCAGTGGTGCTCGATCCCTCGTTTATGATGTAGATACTGGAAGCAACAAAGGAATGTGCAATTCTGGATGCAAAAGTTGTCATGTTGTTGCTGCAATATGTGCTTCTTCAGGGACTGAACGTGCCACATACAGGTGGCCCCTGAGCTGACGATTCTTATTTGATAAGGGATATTCTTTTTGTAGGCTGGCCATGTACATTGAAATGGACATCAGCCGCTGTCCATCTTCAGTGTCTCTTGCCGCCTTGCTAGATCGAGCGAAACCAACAGTGACAACTGGGTGCTTACAGGCGAATTTTGGATGAACTCTGCACGTTTTGAATTCGCCGCCTAATGCAGACCCCATGTGCTGTCCAATTTCGATTTGGCACTTCTGCCACAAGTTTCTGGGCTTCATGTCTTGCCCAGGTCAATGGCTTGCCACGATAGGTCTACTCAATCACATACCCATGCAGACAATGTTGGCCAAAGAAACAGATGCTCCCATTGCTGAGCAGGCTTTTCCATGGACATTTTTTGCACCCTTGCCTTATTGCCATTCTGCTGCAACTTTCCAGAGTGGACTGTGTGGATGGAATGACACATGCGAGTGGTTGAACGAAAGAGGGTCACTTGTCTTTCCATCATTTTGCATTGTGCCGCCAACGCGGTTGAGGTGTTGACAGCCCATCTGCTGGTGCTGTTCAGAGGCGCAGGAATTCAAAAAGGTGTACGAGGTGGCGCAGGAAGCCAATGCTACCCTCTTCCCCAAAGCCAAAAAGCCCAAGGAGGAGTCGGCAGAAGCTGCCGCAGTCAAGGACCTGTCCAAGCAACTGGAAGAGAAGGCCAAGGTGGAGGGCTGATGAGGCTAGTGACAGGGTTGTTGCTGCAGACTTGCATGCCATCCGGCAGTTAATTATTGGCGAACGAATGGTCAACCAAATGTCAACCAATGGTCAAATGACGGTCACAAGGTTCTGCTGGAGATGTTCTTTCCACCAGGATGGTACAGGTCTGCCTGGGTACAGGTCTGCTGGCATACGACGGGGCTCCGTCTAACAAACATGGTTGGATCGGATGTGCCTGACAGTGGTTCTTCCATCAGCGTGGGAGATGGTTGGCCAGGTGCATTCTGTGATTGAGCTTGAGCTTGAATGCGTCACAAGTGTAATTTTACCAGTCCAGGTGGCGTGCACCGAGGCGTCGCTTCATCGCAGTGAGTGGAAAGTGGGGAATTAGAACCGGGCCCCAGTCGGGCCAGGCAACTCGACCGATGTGACGGTTGTGCAGGTTATTAGCACTTTGTCGAATGTAGGGGTTGAATGGGTTGTCGTGGCGTTTTGGGAGGCCTTTTGTGTCATATGTTCCGTCACCGTTAAACCAGTCAACATTGATTTGATTAACAGCTTGGAGGAATATGAATAGCGCCAGTTTGTGTTGTCCTCTCAACAACCTTTTGGCAGGCCCGTGGCCAGCCGAGGCGGCGTTAACCTTGCTGGCAACGTGATAACCGGCTCATGCCAAACGGACTGTCAGAGGACCCAAAATGTTGCGTTGTGTACTTGATAGAGTATTGCCTGACTCAGGACATCGCGAACAGTCTTCCGGCATTGTTAGGTGCTTCCTTTTCTCCGTTCTTGTTCCCTTTGTTCCTCATGGCAGGTAACACCTCAATGGGTGAGACGCAGGTCTGTTCTCGTAACGTAATGTAGCAGCGGTACTGACGGAGCCGGCATGGTGGTTCAGTACAGGCGCCACGAGCAATATGCCAATCCAAATCATGCAGCAGACATTGAGTAATAGGCACATCCTTCACACTGAATTGACCGGTCATCGGACCGTTGCCGTTGAATTCCTTTCTGTCGCATCCCGCGCATCAGTCAAGCCCTGAAACGCGACAGTCTGGGTGGGATCCGAGTGAGATGTTCTGCAAATTCTGCACAATGTGCGTTTTCTACACCAACTGTACTCAAAAGCCCAAACTAATACCCATTCTTCAAAGGCGACCGCCACGCGCAATGTACCGCCGACGAATGCAGGACTTGGCGCTGAACTTCGAGCCAGCAAGTGCTACCACCGCAGCTGCGAGAAGTACATTCAAGTCACCGACCCATACTGCGGTACGCGCAAGCACTGACCTGTAGTGCGATCCAAACCAACCACCGTCCGCAAACGCTGACGGACCCAGAGCCAGCAGTGTTGGCCAAACACAGCGGCCCAATCGCGAGTGCCCGCCTCGCAGGAAAACGCGCCCAGTACATTTTGCCCCTCACAGCGTACCGAAGCGGCCACTCTTCTCCGTTAAAGTTGCCACCAATCGAGGCCATTAGAGGGGACCTGTGAATAAAAGTCAGCCAAAAAGGCGGGAGAAAGGGTGCGGCATCGCGGCGGCGGGGTCTCGCGTAACGACCGGTTCAATGCGGCAGTTTTTTTTTCATCATCATTTTTTCTTATGTTCTTTTTATTCGGCAGTTTTGGTTTGTCGGACTGCGATGGCTTGCTTCTCCTTGGCAGCAACGCCCATGCACTAATAACGGCGTCATCGCGTGACGTCATCGCCTGCGCCCCGTCTCCCAGCCCCTCATCCCCGCGCGGGCCTCCATCATCACCGATTTCCACCCCGCCCCGAGCAAAAGAGTCCACCGCCCTCCGCGCCCGGCGCCCCAAGCCCCCGGCTGTACCTGCACAGCCGCGGCCGTTCCCGGGCGACCCAAACGCCCCCACAGCCTACACGCCGCCCGGGTGGCACGCTCTGAAGGAAAAGCAGGCTGGGGAATTCTGGCCAGCGGTGGATCGTTCTGCGATCGTCGGGCGAATCATCGTCGGGAGCGCGGCCGGCGCGGGGATCCCGTCGGGTGGGCGGACGCCCGCGGCGCGCGGCGCGCAGCATCTATCCCACGGGGAGGATCCGGCGAGCTTGGCCGTTTGGGCGGATCAGGTACTTGCGCGCCGCTGTTCACTTTCGCTTTCGGCGCCCATGGTGCCGACGCAGCAGGCATTGAAAGCTTGCGCCCGGAAAGGTGGTGGTGGATGGAGGGCGGGAGAGGGCGGTGGGGACGGTGCGAGGTCCTCCCAGAGCCGGCGAGACATTGTGCGGCGCGCGGCATTGATTCGATCCCGCGGTGGAGCTACTGGCGAGTTTGGGATTGGGCCTGCGCGGTGGTGTCGCGGCCATTGGCTGGGCATTGCCCGCGAGCGGTCCAGCCCGTGCACGCATGCATTTTCTGCGTGGCCGAGCGGTGCGATGCGGGACGCAGGCGCTGGAGATCGAGCGGCCGGTGAGGGAGGCGGGGGGGAGAGGGCGGGAGGTGTCCGGGGCCCCAATGGACGCCGTGCCAAGGGACCTGTGGCTGGCGGTCTTCGAGGCGCTGGAGGGGCGGGACCTGGCGAGGGCCAAGTGCGTCTGCAGGAGGTGGCGCGACCTGGCGGGTGAGGAGAATTGGGGTTTGGGGCGCGGGGGTGGCGTGGCGCCCCGCGAATGCCCATGTGGGCCCGCGCGGTGGTTGGGTGGGAGTGGGCGGCGATGCGGCGGAGATTTTGCTGTGATGAAGCTTCGACAGGGCGAGGCGGGGCGGCGCCTCCGAGCGTCTGGGAGGCGGCGAGGGGTGCGGGCCGCTTCGGCGTGAGTGTGTGTTCACGGGCTTTCGTGATTCAGCCGAACATCCCGACGTCCGCAACGGGCTGTCAACGGGGGTGGGTCGACGAGTCCTTGCAAACGGCGTAAACACCGCACGCCGGCCTCGCGCCGCGGCCGGACTTGAACAATCGGACGGCGTCGCACGTGGAGCAGTCTGCAAGGGCCTCACACATGCGATCAAGAACCCCAAACCTCCAGGGCATCAGGATGCGGGCGGGGCGTCACCGCCCAGGGTGTGTCCAAGCGTGTCAGCAACGACCACAGCCGATTATTTGCTCGAGTCCGGGACCATTTGAGACAAGCTAACACACCTGTAACACATGCTCGTTCGCTCAGCGCTCCCATGTGTGGCGGGGGGGGCCCAGAAAACCCATGTTTGTCAGTCCTGGGCCAAATTCTCCAAGTTCGTGACTTTCCAAATGCTCTGCAATACCGGACGTGCTTCGCCACATTATTTTCAGGGCATCGCTAACCGCACTGCTGCCTTTGCAGGCAATGAGAACACGTGGTTTCACGTGGTGGCCTCGGATTTCGGTCAGCTGGGCGCCTTCGTTGGCGCACAGAGGATTCCAGGCCGCACCTGGTCCCACAGGGCCAAGGTCATGCACCAGGAGCCGCTGTACATGAACTTTAGGCAGATGGCGCGCCTGCACGGCTTGGTGCGAACCACCGAATCCTGGACCCTGGAGATTCGCAAGCCTGGGTACCAGTGGGAGAGTCACGGCGAGCTGCTGTTCAGGTTGAGATCCATGCAAAATTCTTGTGGCTGTGATGGGAAGATTACAGCCGCATTGAACATGCCTTGTTGTGTTCTGGCCTTCAGCAGTTTGAAAGTTGAGTTGCTCAGCCCATCGTTCCATCATCTCAGCTGTCCAGCAAAAGGGCTTGGCACAGCTATGCCAAAGAGTTGAGGCAATACAGTTTGTGCAATCACTGTATGTGCTTTGCTTTGTCGTCTGACAATATTTCATGTAATCAGGTACTTACACGAAACACAGTGTTTGCTCCTTTCCGGCCAATTCTGTCTCATGCAGAAGGAACCAAATGGGTCCTCTGTGAGTCCATCTGCCAGGAAATCAGCCTGTCTGTCCATTGTCCTGTCCATTTCTTTCATTGTTTGTCTCCCCCATTTCTCTGAATTAATGAAACAAGTTTCCATTGTGAAACCACCAGCCGACCTGTGGTCCCTTGTGAAATGCTGTTGTCTCATTGAAATGACGATGGGGACAAGTGCAGCTTCAGAATTATGCCCTAAATGGCATCTCCACAATCTTCTTTCTGAAATCAAAATTGAATCCGCTCCATTTGTGAAGCTCATATCCTTCCAGACATCGATCACCATCCTGGATGCCAAACACAAATCAGGTCCATCAGTGCATCGTTGACTTGCACTGCCTGCTGTCATGTCCAAACCAGCACAAATCTGCAGCCTCCTTTTTTTGGACGACGGATTGGGAGCGGAAATGAGGGAGTGTGTCCAACTGGACAAGATGATCAGGTCATTTTGTGTTTTGGACGATTGTCAGTTTGATGCTGATAGCAGGGGTGTGTATCGTGTGACCGCAATTGTGGTTGATTGTTGATGTGTAGAAGAGATGGCAGTCCTGCTGATAGTCTTCGCCTCAGGCTATTGGGGCATTGTCTGGATCAGTGGAAAGACGTTTGGTGCCAGTGCTCAGCATTGTTCTGTTGGCCACACTGATGAGTCGCATGCGATGAACGGCTTGATTCCACCTGCCTTGTGAGGAGTAAGAGTTCAGGTCAAATAAGGGACAACACATGTGGTCCTGTGAGTTGATCATGAGCATTTTTGCAATCTCAGAAACATGATGTGGATGCCATCTTCAAGTCTGCAACTCAAAATCAGGAACCAAAACTACATCCATTTGCCAACCACTCATCTACGTTCTCCTCCGCCCAGCAAACACAGGCCACCGTGTTTTGTTTCGCATTATGGACTTGAAATAGCATTGAGAGAGTGCAAATCACCTCCTGGTTAGCACTCAAATGCAAAACATCAATAAATGTTGATGCCCATTCCTGCTTTGTCCCCTTGTTCCAACAAATATGGCCTGTGGCTTGTCGCCCCAGTCAGATTGCTTGAAAATGGATTTAAAGTACTGCATGCCCAAACAGGTCTACCCCCTTGGGTGTGCACTTCATGGGCCAGGGCTTGGCCCTGACCTGTGACATACCCCTGGAGCAACTGGAGGCATACTCCCGCGAGTGGGTGTATGTTATTGGCTGCGATGCAGATGGGGAGGAGTACATGGTATCCTGTGCACGGCTAAGCACTGCCACACCCCGCTCACGAAACGAGACAGTCTGGTCAAGCAGCTGCATGTTGCCACGGGATGGGGAGCTCAAGGTGACTGATTGGTGCCTATCTTGCATTTGACCAGTGGCTGTGTCTCACTAGGTCACAGGCCCGGAAGGGCTATGCACCATATGCATCAATTGATATGAGAATATGCATATGTTGTTCCGTATGGACTGGTATGAGTGGCGATTCTGTTCAGTCCCCTGGACTGGCGCATGATATGAACTGTTGTGTTTAGATTTAGTGACCTGGTCCTCATCCAGAAGCTACTGTCAAGGCCAAATGTATCAACCTATCTCCTGGTCCCTGTACACTACCATCTCAAATGATGTTGTCCAAGAGGAATGCGCCATGACAGATTTGTCGTTTTCACATTGCTGCAGTGGATACATTTTTTCAGCGCTTCTGCTAATCCACCATTCTGTCCATACACAACGCCATTGATTAGCGAAGCAGTAAACTGAGAACCTGGTGCATCAGAAAAATTCTTTTGACCGTTTCTGTAGACGAATCACCATTCTTTACTTGTTTTCAACTGTTGCATCACATCCAAAAGCCCAGCTGGTGCTGAGATGAGGGGCTTGTGCCTCCTCAAAAGACCACTGGCTGTGTATCTGCGACTGTATCATCGGCACTTCTGACATTGATGCTGGTGTATTATGTAGGTGGTGGGGCAGGGACTGTTTGGGGCACGCAACAGCAGCTCGGGTGGTGTGGAGGCGGAGCGTTGTGTGACAGTGTTTGTCCACTATGCACAGACAGTTTTCGGTACCCCCCCACCGGGCCATGACATGTGGGTTGACGAGATGAAGAGCCCCCGCATATGTGGGGTACCGAATTGGCTGGGCATCCCCAACGCATGCGTGTTCATGGATGTGTTTGACATCTGCGGTGTGCACCACTGCTCCCTGGTCATCAATCTTGTGGGCTGGCGGCAGGTGGGGAGCAACAGAAACTATTGAGATTTTGTCTCCATAGACTGGGGGAAGCTTTCAATGCATCTGTCTTATTGTCAATGCCTTAATCACTTGCTTTTGCATTGCCTCACTGTTGCCACGCATAGTGCTTCAACATCACCGTTTCGCCAGAATAACATTGTGGCTAATGATGCCTTGGAAGTCACATTTGGATTCATCTGTGTATGCCTGCTTGCAGATGTCCCTTGTGAACGACTCTTATTTGTGCTCCTCAAGGTTTTCATGGTAGTGCACTCTTATTTGGCAGTTTGGCACTCACTTATTTGGCAACTCCTACAGTATGGCAAAGAGTGACAGAAACACATACTCTAAAAGGAGAGGGGGCTCCATCTATGACCCTATGCTGGCATATTGCTTGCCCTCAATTTCACTTAATTCATGTTGCACCTGATTTGCATAGGGAGAGGTCTAAGTTCTCTCTGTTGCTATTCAAAGCATGAGCTTGATTCCATTTTCACATGTCAGAATTGTGAATGGATTTGTATTCAAAAGGTTAAGTGACCTGCACCACACAGTTTGAAGTTGCTTGTCTGCTGCACGCTTTCCACAGTGCACTCCATACCAGAACCATGAAAAACTAGGCAGCCTGGCCCTTTGTGGAATAAACGCAACAGGCCATCGTTGTTTGGCTCATTTGTGCATTAACTGGAGTGGACAACATTTGTTTCAGCATCGAGGAGCAGCCCACACAATGGGCTCCCCCTCTAAAGCAAGTTTGTTTCCAAGTCGTTGCCAGTCTGTGGAAGGGTGAAGCAGAGTTGTTGTGGGCAAGAAATGTAACAAAACAGAGTGTGGGTATATCTAAGAATGTATGAAATAGAAACATAAGCAATACAGAAGTAGAGGCAGTGGCACACACGCACCTTTTTCTTTTCTGAGAATAGTTGCATCGGGTGGGCAGGTGCCAGACCGGTTGACGGACTTCCGCCCATGGTTCAGCGTGGGCTTGGACACGCTCTCTGCTGAGGCACCCAAAGACCACAGCATGCGCCTGTACTGCCACGTGTGCATCTTCGAGCTGATGAAGTACCGCGGCACGGTAAAGGGAAGAGATGTCTATGATGACGGCCTGTTCATCGAGCCCATGAGCTGGGTGGAGTGTGAGCTGAGGTACCGGGGCGACTCTCCAGGGCCTGTGGGTTTGAGGATCGCTGGGAATGGCGAGTTTGGGATGTCAAGCTTTGAGTGTTTGGTGATGGGGATGGGCACAAGGCAGACGATCGTGTCTTTGGAAAAGTCGAAACGCACCATCCGCCGTGGGTCGGGCACCTTGCACTGGTGGTGAAGTTGATGAAGCTGTTGCAGTTGGTGCCATGAAATTGGTGATGGCAGCAGGTTGGGCGCAGTTGCCAGAAACCAATGGCATTGGTGCAGTGGTGGTGCGCAGAGTTTGGGATTACCCACAGCCAGCAGAGTTGCACAAGTAGCACAGTTGCCCGGTGTAGAGTGTGACAGCGCAGTACCAGCCACACTGTTGTTTGCCTGTTGTCTGGTGCTTGGAACATCGGCAGCCTGTCGTTGGATCCTTAGACACGTTCATGCAGTTGTACCATACACTTCACAGGATTAGAGCCTCCCCAGCAGCCACGTATGGTGCGTCCCACTGTGCTTGCAACATTCAAATCTGTTTTTGCCTGGAACCGCGCCTGGTGCTCAGGTGGCCAAAGCCATGCAGTTTTTGTGCGTTCACGCCGTTTAAAGCAATGAGCGTTGAGCGAGGAATGGGCAGTGGTGCCAAATGGGTGGGAACGTCAGATAGGAGAGATCCAACAAGGGGAATATGAGACATGTGGACGAAAGGGGAGGAGGGTGACTACATGGGATATATCAAGTGGGAACGAAATCGTGTGTGCGGCATGAAGTCATCACCTTGAAGGTGCAGGTGCAGAGTTTTGCCAGTGCTCAACGTGGGCAATGCAGAGTTCGGTTGCCCAGTATGTAATGTTGGAGTGCCCCCACCCAAGGACACCATGGGCAAGAAGCAATGAAAGAAACACCAGAAGGAAATCATGCAAAGCTTCAGTCACAATTGGGCGCCGCGAACCTGGGAGCAGCGAAGGCCACTGTGCTGCTCCCAGGAGCGTGTGGCTGTGGTGTTACCACCATGGATGGCATAATTTTAATTCTAAGCCATTTGACTGGAGGCTGCAGGGGCAGTACTGTGGGCTTCTTGGCCACTCATGAATGTGTGCCTTCTCTTTATGCCGAGCGGCATTTTTAATGCTTGCTTGTGGTTAGGTGCCAGATGGAACCTAATATATGTGGTGTGTCATGAGCTGGGGAGGATATCTGGTTGACGTTGCGGCCCTGGCTTTGCTGTTGCATGCACATGGAGCCCACGTGTGAAAAGTCACAGCATTTCCTGGGTTCCAATATGATTGCATGCGTCCCAAGGGATGCCATGGTAAGGTTGCATTCGATGCGCACGTGCACAACCGCGATTTTGCCCTTTGTGAAAAGTGCACAACATGATTTTGCCAGTCCGTTACTGTGGGGGTCGGTACGTGAATTCTGAACAACTGAACTATCCGAATGCCAGACAGTCTCCAAGTGGGAGGATAGAGGGGGCCAAGGCACCTCATCTTCGGCAAGTGTGCTTGTGAGACACCTCTCCATGCTGCATAAGATGATGCGGAAGGCTCCATATGGAGGGCCTTGCATGCTACAGCAGTGCGGAAGACAGCACACGCACCACCAGTGGCCATGGCCCTCTGGCTGCACTGAGTTTTCACCACCAGACAGCGCCAAATTTTGCTGGCGGTCTGCAGGGAGCCGGCAGCCAAGGAGTGCAGCGGAAAGGGATGCAACCGTGCCCAAATGGCAGTCAGGCTGATTGCCGAACCTGGGCTGAATGCGAAGGAATAGCAGGAATGAGCGAGCCAGTAGGTGCGGACGAGGACTGGTTGGAAGGTCTATTCACGAAGGGTTTCAGATGCGCGGAGAGGCCTATTTAGAGGCCCCATGGAAGCCCACGTCCATCATCTGCAGGATTTCCTCGTCCACAAACCCAGGCCGCGCGTGCCTGTGCGCACACCAAGGCAACCTCCATCCTGGTTCAATAGCTATGCCGAAAAAGCAGGCCGCCAGGGTGCTCGCCGCCAAGCCAAGCAAGTGTACGATTGGCACGCTGCCCACCGTGCAAGGCATAAAAGAAATCCGCGAGGCTCAAAAGAAGGGAGCATCGCGACGAGCCCGCAGGGCGCCCCGGTCCGGCGCAGTTCCAGCGCGCAAGGGGTCGGCTCCACACCGTTCCCCACCGTTCCTTCGAGCACCTTTTCGCTCGCCTTTCGTTCCGATCAGCGCCTGAGAAGGAAACGGGACACCCTGATGCCCGTCCGCTCTGAAACCGCGGGAAGAAGCCCCGAGTAGATCTGCTGGGATCCACCCGATCGGCCGCGAAGAAACGAGGAAACCTCTCCCTGCTCTTCAACCCTGCTTCGCGCCGCTCGCCCCCTCCCCTATCGACCTCCTTACGTCATCACTGCCAACCGCCATCGCCCAGAACAAAACAACCAAATCGTCCCCCTCGAAGTACTGCTTGGGGCAACCACTCCAGCTTCCGGTCTAGCGTCTTTCCTACCTGGGAACACGACCAGCTGACCAGAAGAACACTACATATCACAGTCGCCACCACGCAACTGCCGCCTTGACCCCTCCAGCGCTGGCGCGTGGCCTGCCGCCCCTGCGCTTCTTCAGCCGGGCCAGGCCCGCAAACGTGGCCGCTCAGCTCGGTGTCCCTTTGTCAAGGCCCATCCACCTCGGGTGCCCAGGTGCTTTGGGCCGAGCCGGGCAGCCATGAGTGGCAGGCCCAACATCGAGGCCAGCGACGGCGACGTGCACGGCATGGAGATGTCGGGGTTCAAGACCGCGAGGCACGTGCCCGCGCTGTGGCTCTACGTCGTCACCTGCTTCACATTCATGTCGATCCTCTTCGGCATCATCGCCATCGCGCTGGGCGCCGCGGCGATTAGGAGCACCCATGACAACGAGGACCAGATTGCGGTGACGGAGGAGCGACTGAATGCCCTGGGCGGGGGGGACACCCAGCGGGAGGCGTCCGTGAATGAGGGCCCAGTGGAGACGCTGATTGCGCCCAAGCCGGGCAGGGCCTTCAACACCAGCAGGGCGCCCAGGAGCGGCCGGCGCCAGTTCAACATGGCGGTCGTCGTGCACGGGCTGGACTCGGACACGTTCTGGTACTCGGTGCAGCAGGGCGTGCTGGACGCGGCGGAGCTGTTCGGGTGAGCGCATCCGGTCCCCCCTGGTCATTCCCCCCTGCGCCTTCCTCGCACCCGCCGCTTTTTCTCCTTTTTCTTTTTTGGTGGAAGGTCGGAGGCTGAATCCAACTCGAATCCCCAAGGCTCGTCGGAACCGTCGTTCCCTGGCCGGGGATGCGCTCGCCACGGGGGCGGAGGACCAGGGACGGGGATGCCGAATCAAATGCCTTCCTTTGAATTGCGCCGACAAATGCGTCGCAGCGCGGAGCGGGGCTCTTTCATCCCGCCGGCGCCGACTGGCGTACATGCACCTAGGGACGTTCTCTGTCCCTTGTCCGCTTATTTTATCCGTTGGCCGCCCGTCTCAAAGGCACGCGGGCGGCGGGGAGTCGGGGCCTTGGTTTGGCGATCGTGGCGCGAGGCCAAGCATTTTTTGCCGGCCTTGGTGGGCCGATGCGCCGGCGGCCGATTGCCGGGATGCGGGCGCATTCGGGTGAGCAGCTGGGCTGAGGGGATGTCCTGCGTTTGGCCCCCGGTGTCTGCGGTGCGGCACAGGGGGCCACTGGACCTGTGTCCTGGCGTGGTTCGCGATGGTAGTGATGGGAGGCTGGGTGGTTGCCACGTGCTGCTGTGCCTTGCTCTGTTTGTCGGAATTCGCGTTGGCAGCTGCGGCCGTGGCGGGATGAAGGCGAGGCCTTGGTGTCCTGGCTGTCCCGGAGGCTGGGGGCCCATTGCTGGCATCGCTGACTTTTTGTTGTTCCACAGTATTGCAAGAAAACACGGGTTGGTGCTGTTTGTGAGCTTTAGTTCCCGTTCCTTCAATGTTGCCTATCAAGAGCGCAACTGGCAGCTCTGGCGGCTGTGAAGGCCGCTGCCAGCACGTGCCACAGAGGATGAAGATAATTGGAAGTGTCTCAGCGATGTGATATTCCCTCCCATTCCATTTTGCAAAGTAAGAAAAGGGTTGATGTCCACAGCTACATGTGGTCCCTATTTTTCTGCAAGGTTGTAAATCACATGTGCGTGTGTTGGGCCCCAGGGTCCACTTCTTCTATGACAATCCACAGAACACTGAGGAGCAGGATGGGCACCTGAAGATGGCAGAGGACATCAACAAAGCACGCAAGTCGCTCCGGGATGGCCTTGCAGTGTCCATCCCAGATGAGAGCGTGCTTAGGTCCGCGATTGCGAGGGCAGCCGAAGAGATCCCTGTGTTGACCATCAACTCCGGAGCGAATTTCTCTGAGGAGCTTGGGGCCTTCACCCACATTGGGCAGCTGGAATTCGAGGCTGGCGTGAGGGCTGGGGAGCGCATGAGAGACTTGGGCGTCACGGTGGGGTTTGTTTTCTTGCTTGGATTCTTGATTTTCTGTCTGTGTGGCAGAACATGGTCCTTCTGGTACTGTTCAACACACAGGAAATCGCCATTCCATCTTAGGATTTTGGATAATGAATAGGGGCAGCAGAGTGCCTAGTGAATGTCTTGCTGTGACGGAACCAAGACGCAGGGGGACATGCCTGTTCATGCTGCTGCCCCCTCATATTTCATTAGATGCGTGTGGAAAGCTCTTGGGGGTAGTCGGCTTGAAACTACCTGCCCCACATCGCTTTGCTTTGGTTGGTGCATGTGCAGAAATGAACAAATGTGCATGGCCAAATGATGTGATGCAATTGCGGTAGCCATGAGACTGTAGGTGCAAAGACAGTGGTGTGTCAGATTTTGGCAGGTGTAGTGAGAAGAGTTTGCCTTTCTGTTCTTCTCATTTTGGTTTGCTGCTGCATTCACCCAGAGCGCTATCTGTGTGAGGCATGAGGTCAGCTTGGCTCTTGATGAGCGCTGCGATGGCTTCCAGCTTGGGCTCAACGGCACTGTGCACAGAACCGACGCGCCAGCCGAAGATGTAAGCCATATCATGCTCCTCAGTCCTTGCACCCTACATGTTTTCCAACCAAGTGTGATTCACTGTTCCCAAAGAATGACATCATTGCATTAGCATACCTGTACATCTGTGGAAATGGCTGTATATCAAAGTCGAATCTGTTCAATCTTGTCATTGTCGTCTGCAGTGCATGGACAGAAAGTGTAACCTCGCCCACCTTTGTTGTCAGCCAATTTGTGGCTGTGCAGCCGCTGCAATCGTTGACCTGTTGCATTGTGAATCCAGCCAACATTTACATGCCTCGGTGTTTCAACGGATTTACAGATGTCAATATTAATTGACAAGGAATTCTGGTTGTGTCCAGAATTTCCCACCACTATCAATAATTCATCCCGCATGCATGCTGATGTTGAATGGAACTGAAGTATTCTATTACCAGACGATCTAGTACAGGAGTATCTTTAGAATATCGCTATTCCTTTGACCTGTATCTGCAGATCTCACGACAGCACATTCTTGCTCTTCTCCGTCCTGGACAGCAGGCGTTGGCCATGCTCCACGTCCGAAGCTGGCGCAGAAGTCGCAAACAATAACAAATAATTGTTGTTGTTTCTTTTCAAACAATAACAAAAGGAACAGCGCACAGCGCTAGTTTTCCCAATCACCTATCCTTCCACGATGGCATCAAATTAGACCAATGCAAGGTGAGGGGAATTGTGGTTTGCCTGGCAGTTATCAACAAGCATCCAGGACCAGGTGCGCTTGGCCCTGGATGAAAACAGCGACGCCCAGGGCATCCTGGCCCTTGGCCCGGCGGGCTTCGAACCTGCAAAGGCAGAGCTGGGCGACCGGGTGTGCTCTGGGGACAGCGCGCCAGAAAACTCCGACTGCATCGAGTTCGGCACCTTCGATGTGTCGCCAGGGATCCTGAACTCGCTCGTCAATGGTGAGGTCAACTTTGGAATCGACCAGCAGGAATACCTGCAGGGCTACCTGGCCATCGCGTTCCTGTACTGGAAGGCAGCCTTTGGGGGATCCATCGGGTCAGGAGGAGTCGTGATGTCAGGTACAATAACATGAAACTGCAGTGTTCGAATTTTGCTGGGTTGGATAGCTGATGAGTTGGTGTCGCAACTTGTGACTTGTCTTTGAGTTGCTCCTGGCGGATTGCAAGGGGGATCAAGTTCAGGTTGGAGCTGCAGTGCGCACTGGTATGTGCGTACTCCAGAATATGGATTCCAAAAATTCATTGGACAGTTGCATGAATCCTTGGATTGCGAACCCCTTGCGGTTTTGCAGGCGATGATAGGCACAAAAACGTCCAGTCTGTGTTTTGTCATTGTCCTGAAATCGAGCTTTTCTGCATGCTGCGTGCCTATGCAGCGTAAAAGGGGGCGTGAACGTTTTTCTTTGTTTCTTGGATCCTGGGGGCTCCTGGGCTTCAGAGAACAGGGCGAATCTCTACACTACAGTGGCCTGTTTTGTCGCATTCAAGAGCTACAGATGAGACAAGCAACTTGACTCTGTCCTGGCCGTGCGGACTGCAAGGAATGTCAGCTGAGTCATATTGGGAGTGCTGAACAGATTCCTGGCAGGAAATAAACATTGTGTTGATGGTGTTTAGTTGCCAGCATCGCCACATGTGCTGCAAGGCTTTTTGTTCTCAAGTGCAGCAACTGCCACAGTATTGTTAGGATTGGCCAGCAAACAAAGTCGCACACCAAAACGGACTTCAGTGCATGAACAAAACAACACCAACAGAGCCACATGTTTTCCACATGGAATCGCTATGCAGTCAAAATAGTGCGCCATCATCGTATTCAACTGCTCAACAACATATACAAGCATATCACCACATTGTCGAGCACAAATTGAGTTCATAGTCATTTGCAGTTAGTTAATCTCTTCACACCCTTTGCCCAGGCCCCACTTTCGTAGACTCTGCTGAGCAGGCGCAGCTTCTCCTCGGCCGTAACTACACCACCATGGACAGCCTCTCTGGCAAGATCCTCACTTTCTTGGACATCCGGTATGTCGTGGATGGCAAACCACAGGACAAATTCTGGCAACGTGTCAAGCGGGGTGTGAAGTATGTTGCAAACTTGTATGGGGTAAGTGCTGCCATTTGTGCCCACAGCAGTGTCTCTTCGTGTTGAGTTCCTTCTTCTGCATTCAGACACTTTCGTTCTGTTCTTGCTTGGCACTTGCAGAATCCTGTCGTTCAGTTGGACTGGAGCCTTGCATACTCAGCAGGAGGGCAGCCTACTGCTGTTCATGAAAATCGCCCTCAACTTGTTGTACGGGTGCTTCAAAGGCATCTGTCAACTGTCAAATCATGGCAAAACAGTGGCCCAGCACATGGAAAGCATTCGAGGATGCCATTCACGTTTTTGCAAATTGGTTTCTCAGAGTCTCTGGAATGGCTGGCACACCCCACTCAACCGTTGTTGAGTGTTTGCAGCAGTCGTAACAAATGGCAGGCTCTTCCCTTGCAGCCAACAAATGCCTGTTGCCAGTGAAGCTGCCAGACATTCTTATTTTGCACAAGAAAACAAGAATTGATCCGTCTGTTGCATTCGTTTTTGGCAGTGTTTCTTAGCATGCAGACTCCTTGCTTCCTCTGAGTGGTGAACACTGTCTGTACAGAATGGAAACTGTGACATGGGATAGGAAAACCGTGCATGAAAGGTGGTCACTGTGAACTTTTGCAACACTGTGGGCATTGACACGGTCTCTCCATGGACAACAAGAAGGGCGCACAGCACCCTTTCAAATTTTGTGTTGCATGTGCCAGACACCAGTGGATTACAACGAGCCGGAGAACAGCTTCAGCAACCAGGAAGTCATCAATTTCATGAGGGATGAGATCCAGAGGGCGATCGACGACAATGTGGATGGGCTGGTGGTGTCGATTCCTAGTGACAACGCAGTCCTGAGAACGCTGGTCGGTGAAGCGATGACAAAAGGAATCCCAGTCATCTCGATGGCCAGTGGGGTGGACCTGTTCGAGTCCTGGAACATCCCTCTCCATGTGGGCATGGGTGAAGAGTTTGGTGGAAGGTGTGTTGATGGGTTGTCTGCGGAGCATAGCAGCAGAATAACAGCAACAATAAAGCAGTAACAGCGACAAGAATAACAACTAGTGCAGGTAAGCTGATGCAGGTAATGCCAATTCACAACCAATGGGCCACCCACACTGCTACAAAGAATTGCCGCTTTTGCACCACTTGTTCCAGGTATTTATTTATTTATTTATTTATTTATTTGTTTATTTATTTGTTATTTATTTGTTTATTTATTTATTTATTTATTTGTTTATTTACTTGTTTGTTTATTTATTCTTGTTCCGTGCATTTGCTGAGTGTTATGTGACAGAAAAATATCGAATGTTAGGGGAGGTCCTAATCATGCCATTTTGGGGGGTCGTTTCGAGCCAACACCATCCAGGGGTTCATGCCAATCTCCCCATCCTGCACAACCTTTCCCATTCTCCCATCGCCTGACTGATCTGATCGCGTTGCTGTGTGCCCGTGTGTGAGCAGGCAGGTGGGCAAGAGGCTGGCTGAGTCTGGGGTGAACAACGCCATCTGCCTAATTCACAACAACCCCGACGCTGCCCTGGAAGAGCGCTGTGCCGGGCTGCTGGCTGGTATGCAAGAGGTCATACCCACCGCCCAGGTGCAGCGTTTGAGGTCAAGGGAAACGTCAGGAGCGGGAGACAACCGATTCCAGACTGGACAGGCGGGTCTGTCAGATCGCATGAGGTATGGCCCATGCAGGGTGCTCCTCCTTGCTTGCCAGATGTTGTGAGGTGACAAGTGATACAGGTCATTTGAGACTTCATGCCAGATTTGGTGTGATGATTGTCTGTACCATGGCGGCCAATGCAGGGATGCAGTCGTGGAGACGATAGAGGCGGATGAGAGCATCAACGGTGTGGTTGCCCTGGGCCCCCCAGGCTCAGTGCCTGCTGTGGAGGCTGTCAAGCAGCTGGGAGCAGAGTGCGACGGGGTGAAGACGCCTGACAGCACACCAGCCAGAGGCGGCTGCATCGTAGTGGCCACGTTCGATGTAGAGTTCCCAGTCTTCAACTTCATCGAGGTGGGTATTGAACTGAATTGCCTTGTCTTTTTTTGTGTAACAGAAGTTGCTTGTGAGATGTCAGATTTATTGCTGATCAGTGTATCAGGCAGAGCAAGTAGGCTTCACAGCTGTGTCGGGACTTTGAACTTGGGTGCGCTCCTAATCTGCGGTCAAGCCAAGTAAGATTGGCTGGTCCAGGTGAAGTTTTATGGTTCAGAATTTCAATCATGCACGTGTTTCAACCACATTGTGTTGCTAAGAGCATGGTCTCAGAGTACAGGTGAAGTTTTATGGTTCAGAATTTCAATCATGCACGTGTTTCAACCACATTGTGTTGCTAAGAGCATGGTCTCAGAGTACATGGAACCTGCTCATCTGCACCTTACTTGATTTAGAAGGGAGGATAATTCGTTTGAAAACGAATGAAGCCTGTTGAATGTCAGATGCAAACTTGCTGCAGCAGTTCGCTTCAATTTGTGCAAAGCCTTGCCACATTTGCCCAGTGCTACGAAATGAGAAGCTACGGAAAGAACAGATGGGATAAGCAGGGTTGGACAGGTTCAGACTTGTCACTGCAATGTAGCTGCATTTGCTGTGTGAATGGATTGTCCACTCAGTGAATAGGGTGGACTGCATACCTGGCCATATATGTGCAGCATGGAGCTCAGTGCAATGCCCATAGAATGGCAATGTTTGCTCTGCAGTACTCAATACCAGAAGGTTGCTTTGATTTTAGACATTTGGAAATTGTCCTGTGTTGCCCCTAAGACTCCGTCATCATGTCAGATTTTGGTTACCTTTCTGGCTGAGAGGGCGTAAATCTGTTTCGCCACTGCTAGGTGGTGGTTGCATGGTCCTCCCGAACATCTGGCTGAAGTCCTGCCTGGGTGTCCTAGGATTGTTAGGAGGCTGCCTGCCACATGATGACTTCAACCCAAGCGGATGCAAATTGACAGAACCATCATGGTTGAGAGTGCTTGTGAGATCACTGTCCATAGTGCAGCATATGATGCAGAAGCTTCTGCATGCAATAATGAGCATGCAACAGTAGCATGGCTGGCAAGCAGATGTGAAAGGATACTATCGTCTTGTATCTCCCAAACCATGCGTTTCATCAGCACTGGGAGGCATGCGGTGGCAACTCTCAGTGTAAGGGATTGTTGATTCATCACAGCTGGAATGCTTGCTTGCTCAATAAGGCCATCATGCCCAGGTGGACAATCACAGCAATGCATGCTTTGTGCACGATAGTGCATCAGATGGCTGCCTTACGAGGCCACGTTGACATGTATGTATGTGTTTGTCCATCCTCAGGAGCGTTCAGTCGAGTTTGCTGTGGACCCTGGTCCTTTCTTTCAGGGAGCCCTGCCATTGATGTTTATGGCCCTCCAGAACCTGTGGAACAACATGCCAGTCGGACTGGTCAACTCAGGTGTGCTAATGGTTGTGTATAGGCAGGCCAATGCCATCTCGTGCAGTACCGGATGGATATTGCCTTGGCAAATAGTGATTGCACTTCCGTCGTTGTCCTTGTCTTGTCCAGCATGTTACATTGCAACTTGCCAGGCAAAGTAAACCTGCTGTATGCTGAAGGCCCATAACCCGAACACATGCAACCTTTGGAGTCAGCCAGACATGACAAGTACGTTTCACTATCCTATTAGTTCCAAACAGTTGTTTGCAAACACGCGCCCTGTGCAGTTGCCTTCCACGCATTGGGCAGTAGAAATGGGTATCCCACTATTGGTGCAACACCTTTCGAATGGTAGATGCATGGCGTTGATCGTAACATTTACACATTCTCCCATCGCTTCCATCTGCAGGGCCCACCTTTGTGGACGTTGAAAACGTTGGCGGCTTCGAGGTCTTTGCATGAGGGCCCATCGGAGGGGGCTCGCAGCAGAGAAAACAGAGGCAAGACACCAGATCATTCCTGCCTGCCTTTGCAACTCACAGGTGGTTGCCATGGTGGCACCCACCAGTTATGGATGGGATTGCACAGAAGCGTTTACAACACGCAAATTCCCATGGCTGCGTGTTGAGGCGCTTAGCCGGCTGCAGAAGGGCCTGCAGCAGGTTTCTGATGCGTCCCATGCTTCAGTTGCGTGCTGTGGGAAATGGCCAGGTGCGAAATGAGCGGGGCGCACTGCATGCAGGTTCTGGGGGAGCCGGTGGGGCACACACGGACGCAGTGTCGCCACTGCAGCGGGGGGTCATGGGCACAGTGACTCATCGATTTGGGTGTCGCACCATCGGTTTTTGGCTTTTCCATGTATCATGGTTTTCATGTATTTCATGGGTCGTTGGCACGCATCGGACTGGTGCAATGGTTTGCGTGCTTGCCTATGCTTTTCATCTCTTACTTATCTCTTGCGGGGTTTTTGTGGAGGGGGGGACAGAGGTGTAAAATGTTGTGTCATAGTATATATACTACAGTACGGTACACTACTACGGTATATAGCGCTGGTTGTTCGATTTGCGAGTTACACCAAATAATCCCTGGCATGGTTGCTGGCTATGTGTGCACATTAGGTACTCGACCGGATGATTGCCCGAGACACTTCTATAGTGCTGCCGAAGCGAGTCGCTGCCTCAGCGGCCAATACTATCCAGCGTTGCAAAGTACTGTATACCGAAAAATTTTCGCGGAGAAAACATTTCGCGTATTTCGCGGGAAAAAAAATTCGCGGAGAAATATTTTCGCGCACTCGTCGGTGCGCGAAAATTTTTCTCCCGCGAATTTTTGTTTCCCGCGAAAATTTCTGCCGCCCGAACATTGTCGCTGCGTGACCTTTGCGGGTGGGGTACCAGCGGGTGCCCGCCTTGGCTGTAGCCCGCTCGGAGGCCCAGCAAACTGAGGGTCCTTTGGCGTAGTGGGCGACCAGCAGGGCCTGCCCGAGTGGCCACCCGCGAGGCCTTGGAGGAGCGCCCGGATCGGCGCCTCACGGCCGCCCATTCGCGCCGCCCGCGGTGGCCTAGGATGGGCCCCGCCGGTGGCCCGGGCAGGCCCCAGCCCGAGGCGCGAGATGCGCCGCAAGATAAGCGTCTCGCGGGCGCACAATCGCGCCGCCCGCGCTGCCTTGAATCGCCCCGGTCGGTGGCGCGAATGGCCAGCCGATAGGCGCGACAGGCGCGCCCTCATTCGCCTGCCCATTCACGCCCTCCGCGGTGGCCTGGAACGGCCTCCGCAGGCGACGCGAATGGGCGCCCGCGAAGCGCAAGAGGCGCAGCAGGAATGGCGCCTCGCAGGCGCCCATTCCTATCACCCGTAGTCGCCTGAAATGGCACCCGCCGATGGTGGGAATGGGTGCCCATGAGAGGCGACATGCGCCGCAGCATTCGCGCCGCATCCGAAGCCACCCTGTGGGCCGTCCCTAGGGCGCGCTCCTTGCGCGTTCGACGGGCTCGATGCAGGCACAGATTCGGTCGCCGATCGCTTTGCAAGCCACACTGCGCCTGTGCTCTCGAAATGCTCCCAAAAACTTGTGGGCTCCATGGAGACTCGGCCAGCCGATGGCCACTGCCCTGCGAACCCCCCGCTGGCCAGTTCAGGGCTTCTTTGCCGCTCGGCGGGGGCCACACGCCGCAGCGCAAAGCCAAGAGGTCAAACTGCGCGCCCAGCGCCTGACCCACCCCTGAGGGGTGCCGAAAAGTTCGCGGGCGAAAAAAGTTCGCGGGACCAAAATTTTCGCGGAGAAATATTTTCGCGCACTGGCTCGACCGCGAAATGCGCGAAAATTTTTCTCCCGCGAAAATTTTTCGGTATACAGTAGCACATTGTTCGCGCCAGTCTCCATGTTGAGCTATTTTGATAGTCTCGAATGCCTGCCGTGATCTAAGCACTTGACCTTGAAAGGCAATATTCCAGCAGTAGCCCTAAGGGGCGTCAGTATACGACAGCCTTGAAGCGAGCGACGGTCCACCACACCAATTTGCCTAAGCGGCATTTGGGGATACGGGAGGTGTGTGTGGGTTGAGGTGTGGTCTCACTGCGTCGTTGTTGCGATTGCAATTCGCTGGAATAGCTGACGTCAGGCATGATGCAAACTGCAACAAAAACAAGAAGTGAGGGTCGATCGAAAGGATATGAGCCAAAACCATGGCGCTGAAATTTCAAAACACGAAAGGGTTGGATATGATGCACCATTTCTGTCAGACATCCGCCCTTTGTGTGGTCACGTTTGTGTGCACCAATACCTGATTAGGGGAGTGACAGGTGGGCACTTTCATCCCCGCTGTGATGGGACTGGGGGTTTGGTTCACGTGCTCGCAGATCAGCGTATTGACACATGGCATCACGAGTGGGTGTATGACTTGGACCGCCCCATCCCTGCCGGTACAATAGCTGATGGTACAAATTGCAACCGTGCGACCAAACACTACTAGCACATGCGGTGGCAAGTTGGAACATAGCCACAGTAGTGTTGAGGTTGCATGGACTACTGAGAACAACCAGACTAATTGTCGTACCTCCCATCCACATCCCTTTGGCTCTTCATCAACTTGCATTCACGCCTTACCTGTTGTACCACTTGCCTCCGCACCTCACAGTCTTGCCTCCTTCCATTCGCGTATTCGATGTTCAAGGGCGTGCGGTGCCCAGATGCGCATACCCTTTGGTCGCAGCCAGGGACCGCCTGTCCAGAGATTCTGCCTATGCATCAGGGAAGTGCGGCAAACGGCACCATACATAAGATCGAGGAAAGGCGCAGCCTCCACCAACGTCGTCAAGCAGGAAGAGGCGTCGGCGGAAATCGGCGGGACATGCTGGCACGGGGTTGGGATGGGTCATCGGTGCCATGGCCGCATTGCCAGGAACGTCCAGTTCGGTTTCATGTGCAGAAATATCCCAGATACCCCCGTCTCCCATGTCGGGCACCCAAAACTGACTAAATTTATGCCGCATAGGCGGAGACTAAGGCTGTTTGGGATACGAGCAGTACTGAAGGGTCAATGAACATGAAAGTATGATGGTTCTGTGGACATTGAGTCTATGTTGATACTTTGCTGTTTTTTCAGTGTTGCTGAGAGGCTTTTTATGCCCTGTCGCGATTGACCTATGGTGTTGCGACACCCACTCAGGCGCCACATGTGAGTCGCACGACACTCGTCAAGTGGGACGACTCAGTCCTTGAACAGCGATTTCGTAACTACTTGAAGCACATGTTTGACGTGAAAACAATGCCATCGAAGAGAGCAGCACATTGAAGTGGACAGGGTGCAAATGTGAACGTCAAACGTGAAGCTCATTTCAAGGAGCTGGAACGTCTGTCCAAAGCGCCCCACGCATGCACGTGTTGCTTGGTAATCTCATTCCAATTAGCACGCCTTGCAACTTGCAGGGCGTCACAACTGCAGCTCGCAAGAGCTGCACCGTGAACAAGCTGTGAACAGTTCCCCGTCAAACCTAAGCCACACTTCGAGAGACTTTGCGGGCACTTTCTCATGAACCCCAAGTCGCACAGCCACAGATCGACCGCGGGCTCTCAGCACGGCAAAAAGGGGGATCCAACGCGTCGCGCCGTCCTCACACCCCCCATCAAACCGCCAATCCCACGGAGATGTCTTCCCTCGCCCGCTACCCGGGGGACAGGCCCCGGGGGTGGCGCCCGAGCATGAAACAACCCCTCAGGGGGCGCGCGGGCCCGGCTCACAAACGCCAAAGAACGTCCCCCGCTGGGGATGAATCCATCCGCTGCTTCCCTTGGCGCTGGGGTCACGAGCAGTTCCACGGTCTGGCATCGGCGGGGCGGCGCCCAAGGCCCGGCCGCGGGCCGCGGCGCACCTCGGGGCCATGAGCGCGTCCCGAGGGCGCAGGCGTCGGGGACCGAAGTTGATGCATGCGCGCAGCGGGCGGCGTCCATCGAAAGGCGGCAATCGGCGCTAGAGGAGCTTCCCCTCCCCGAAGGTGCGGCGACAGGGGGTTCAGGCATGGCGCGGGAATTCAATACAGGAAGAGGAGGAAAGGTAGTACAGACTACTGGTCGTACAGAGGGCACCTCTCCTGAGCAAGCGTACGCGAAACTCTTTTGCATGCTGCGAAAAGACGGTATAGAGCCTCCGATGCAAAATGGTGCTTGGGCACGGGGGAATGCGAGTCATGTTCACGTCAGCTCCCAAGCATGGGAAGTTTGGGCGAGTCAGCGTGATGAACACCATGGATATTTTCTCGACCTCGCGGCGTCGGCGATCTCAGTAGCTGGCTGCGGGAGCTCGACGTGGGCGAATGCTGGAGAGAGCGGGGCCGCCGGCTCCCCGCTGGCGTCCGATCTGAGCTCTTGGGGGATGGGATATGGGTCGCCTCTCCCAGTTCTCCCAGTCGTTGTGTTGATCCCAAGAGCCCCTATGTTGGACACTCCCCTACCGGTCTGGGGGGGCGAACCAAACGGGTCTGAAGGGCATCCCGCGCGAGATGGTCGTCCAACGACGCCCGCGTGCTTTCGTGACAGGCGCCCAATCCAAGCCATCTGCAGGCGCCGCTGAGTTCCGGCAGGGAGGCGCGGTCGCGACGGGTGGGAGGGGAGTGCGTTTGTCGTGTTGGAGAAGGGGGCCCTCGCGAGGGCACAGGAGTTGGGAGGCGAAAAGTGGTGTGTATCATCATGCCAGTCGCTCCCGTCACACGGCACGGCGCGGCAACAGTTCACGACACTCCCACACACCAAACAACACTCTAATCCATTGGCAGATTAGGCGTTGGATGAAATGGGTCACGTGCACTAATTTTTAGGCTCAGAAACGTTGCCCCGCAACGGTGGGAGATGACGCCAGTGGCTGACGAGGCATCTGCTTGACGTCATAGAGACTGGATTACGTCATCTGGATGGCGTCCATTGGGTTTGGCTGTCAATTCAAGGCGAGTTCCTGTGCCCCTTGCGCACGTCACCCACTAATAAGCAGCGCTGCAGTATCGGCCCACCGAGATGCGAATTTTCTTAATTCTCAAATATTACTTCGAAATTCATGGCATTTCAGTGTCCAGGTGCCTCCCTCGTACTATCACAAGATATGTGGGGTGCAACCTGTTCTCCTTGTGGCCGCTCGGCAGGATACTCCGGGTTACCGCTCGTTGGCGGCATGTTTGACTTGATCAGTTTGATCACGGACAAGCATGTGTTTGTCTCCAACCAAGTTAAGAAGTACGGTCTCGTCAGCAGAGCATCGCTGCTTGGAAATGAGGCGATCATTGTTGCCGGTCGGGACCTTCTACACCAGGTGAGCGCGTTTCAGTGCTCAATTTATTGTGGTGCATTGCCTTGACCCCGCCAGATGCTTGCACTTTGTGTTTGTTCGCTACTGGGGCATGTGTTGCACTCCTGGTACCAAGATCGCCGCACAGCAGATATCCCCACTTTTAGAATTCAAGGCGTTGCGTGCAAAAAGTGTCAAACATTGCTGCTGGTAGGCTGC